ACACACACACACACACACACTCTCTCTCTCTCTCTCTCACACACACACACACACACACACACACACACACACACTATGATTCTTTAAATGTTTGTGAACTTAAAAATGATGAAATATAAAATTCACAGAAACAGAAATAAAATAAAAATGTTTTAATGATTCAACAGTTTTATGTTTAAAGTTTGTTTTATTTGATTTTAGAGTTTTACAGACTCGCAGTGACTGATGGGAAATATCCATCAGACAGAAATCTGCAGAAACATTTGGTTGTTAGAATATTAAATCTATATTAAATCTACAACTTCTCCTGTCTGTCTTCATTATAAGTATTATTATTGTATTTAATATGAAATATGGCAGTAAATAAAATATATAAAATGTATAAAATATATAAAATGTATAAAATATTTCTGGTTATTTCAGCTCCACTGTTTCTTCTTCCGCCGGCTTCCACCGCACCTCCATGGGCTCCATCGGCTCCGGGCGGCTCGGTGAGACCTGCAGCCGGCTCTCCGCTCTCCTCCAGCGGCCTCACGCCCGGCTCTCTCCCCCGGCTCTCTCCCCCGGAGCTCCGTGCGTAACGGATCCGTGCCAAACACGGAGGCTGCGCGCTTTTGTCCCGGGAGACAGAGGAGAAGAAAGGAGGGAAAATCCGGGAATAATGGAAGATTTGCAAATGTTTTTTCAATTGATTTGACTCAATGAACGCGGGATTTTCTTTCTTTCTTTCTTTCTTTCTGAGGAGAGTTTGGCTGCAGCCGCCACGCATGCGGACCGAGCGGGAGTTTATTAATGGAGAGCCGGGTCTTTATTGAAGGAGGGACACGCTTTAATGAGCTTTTTACAACAAAAAGCCCTCAGTGAGTGTGTCCCGGTGTCCTCTCTCCTTTATACCCGCTCTATACAGCCAATAAGAAACACTTTAGTCCCCAAAGGACGACGGGAAGTCAGGAGGCGGAGGGAGCGGCAGGTGACTGGCACGCGTAAAGACAAGAGGACAACAGGAGGAGAGACAGAGAGAGAGTCCGGTGGATGGAGTGAGGATGAAGAGGAGGTGAATGGAGAGGAGGAGGAGGAGGTGGTGGGAATGAGCCCAAATGGCGCACTAATATTGTTCCGCTAATATGATTAGTGGCTGCGCTGCGGCCTCGTTAGTATTCATGCTCATAATCCTCCTTTAATAGTCCTCCTTTAATAATCCCCCTTTAATAATCCTGCTGTCACACTAACGCTCCCTCTTCTTCTTGTTCACCGAGTCTTTTTATTTCTGCAGCTTTTTCTCACCACTCTTCATCTTCATCATCTTCATCATCTTCACCACCACCACCGTGTAAAGAACTGATATCTGTTAATGGATCAAACAGATTCAGCTTCAGATTTATTGCAGTTAAATGATCTTTTATAATTAATAATATCTTAATTTTCAAATTAATCACTGATTTACATAATAATAATAAAGTGTTATTGATCAATTCATTAATTGCAGTTTGTTCCAGTGATTTTTTTAAAGTTAAAGTTATTTAATGTATATATATAATGTGAACAGTGCTGGAAAGGCTTTTACATTATTGTTTATATTTCAGTTTTTAATGAAATAAATCATTCAGAGTGTAAAGATGTTAATAAAAATAAGAATTGTAAATTGTATTTATAATATAATAAATATAATATAATATAATATATAATATAATTGTATTGTTTAATTACAGCTTTAAGATATTTTTAGGTATTTTGTTGTTTTTCACAGCATAAATAAAAATAACTAAAACTTGATCAATAATGTTTCTTTAACTTAACTTAAATGTTTTCACTGTTTCTGAGTTAAATTAAATGTGAGGAACATAATTGATCCACAATCATTAATTAGTCTGAATTCTGTAAACAGATTTTAAATGAGTTTAGAGAAATAGTGAAGATATAAGTTATATATATATCTGTATATCTGTACATTTATAAATATACAGATATATAAAGAGATATATAAATATATTTACCAGTTTTAATTAATTATTACAATTAAATTAATTCACCTCAACAATAAACATTTGAGTTACTAATCAAACATTTCTTCAGGTTTATTTGAGTTGATTAACTCAATATTATTATATTATATATTATATTTTTTATTGAATCAGTCAGTGAGTTAATCAATCAGTCAGTGAGTTAATCAATCAGTCAGTGAGTTAATCAATCAGCTCTGATGGAGCGGAACTAATTGATGATGAGTTTGATTGACAGGTTGATTAAATGAGAGAGAGAGGAAGAGGAAGAGGAAGAGTTGAGCTCATTCACAGCAGGAACAGGACAGAGTGTAAAGAGTTAAAGTATCAAACTGATCAACTATTTAATGATCGATTCCATTATAGATTAATGATTATTGATCCATTAATCTGCTGATTATTGATTTGTAATTATTGAGAAATCTCTTCACAAGTTCAAACGTCTTCACATTCTGAAAAATGCCTTGAATTGATTTTCTGTCAATAGATGAATTGATTAATGGACTGACTGAGACAAACCGATGGAACTGATCGGATTCAGGAGATGTTGTTGTTTGTTGTTTGTCTTTTAGCTGCTGCTGGATCAGGTCCAGTTCTACAGAGACCGGCTCCATCGAGACCGGACCCTCCACAGACGGGACGGTCTCTGTGTGAATCCAGATTATCATCAGTCTGTCTGTCGGCTGTTTACAGCCAGACACACATTCACCATGTTTATATTTATATTAATAACTATATATGTATATTAATAACTATATATGTATACTAATAACTATATATGTATATTAATAACTATATATGTATACTAATAACTATATATGTATATTAATAACTATATATGTATACTAATAACTATATATGTATATTAATAACTATATATGTATATAAATAACGATATATTTATATTAATAACTATATATGTATATTAATAACGATATATTTATATTAATAACTGTATCTATATGTTTATGTTCCTTCATCTCGTCTCACACCGACTGAAACACTCTTCCTCCTCACTCATCGTCTGCAGGTAATCCAGAACCTGCTGCACCCTGTACAGATCCAGATCCAGACCCAGATCCAGACCCAGATCCAGACCCAGACCCAGACCCAGATCCAGTATCTGTACCTGCTCTAAGAGCTGCTCCGTCTGCAGGTTGCTGCAGTGGAGCTGATAGAGCTGATCGATCCACTGATAGCGATTATCAGTAATCAGGGAAACAGATATTTAATAAAAAGTACATTTTATCCTACTTTATACTTTTTACTACATTACTTTAATAACTTTAGTTACTTTGCAGATTAACATTAACAATACAAAATATAATGAACTAATAAATGATGAATGATTATTGATTAAGCTACGCAGCATCATCAGGATCAATAACTCCACCGACTCTCTGACAGCACGAACTCTGAACTCTGACACCACATTACAGAGAAACCCTCCCTCCATCCACCCATCCCTCCATCCTTCCACTCCATCCATCCATCCCCCTCCCTCTCCACCACCACCACCCCTCCAACCCTCCCTCTATCCATCCCTCCATCCCCCTCCATCCACCCTCCCATCCCTCCACCCCTCCCCCCTCCATCCATCCCTCTACCCCCTCCATCCCTCCCTTCACCCCTCCATCCATCCCTCACCCCTCCCTCCATCCATCCCTCCACCCCTCCCTCCTCCATCCATCCATCCATCCCTCTACCCCTCCATCCCACCCCTCCCTCCACCCCTCCATCCATCTCTCTACCCCTCCATCCCTCCCTCTACCTCCATCCCTCCATATACTTTTGGCCGTGCAGGTTGACTGAGACAGTTTATTGCTCCTGTTGGTCCCAAAGCATCATGGGAAACATTTGGACTCGATCCAGATCCCCATTACTAATGTTTAACACACACACACACACACACACACAACACAAACACTGTACTTACAACCCTCCTGTACTTTATGAACACACACACACACTCACACACACACACACACAGAGTTCATCTGTACTTACAGAGCTCCTTCCTGTACTTTATGACCACACACACACACACTCTGTACACCGCAACACACACACACACACACACACACACACACACACACACTCTGTACACACACACACACACACACACACACACACACACACACACACACACACACACACACACACACACACACTCTGTACACCGCAACACACACACACACACACACACACACACACACACACACACACACACACACACACACACACACACACACACTGCCAGTAACAGTGGAGTCTTCAGTTCTTGTTGTTTCCTGTCATCCTCCATCTTCATCCTCTCTATCACAATAAAAGTCTGTCTCTGTTGCAATGTCAAGTTATTGATCAATAACTGTCTGTCTGATCAATAACTGTCTGACTGATCAATAACTGTCTGACTGATCAATAACTGTCTGATTGATCAATAACTGTCTGACTGATCAATAACTGTCTGACTGATCAATAACTGTCTGATTGGTGAGTCTCAGCTTTACCCAGAATCCCTTTAGATGAACTTCCTGTCCCGTGAACCAAATCTTTCTCAGTGTGTTCGACTGTGTTGTCGGTTGAACACGTAAATAAACTATTAGTTTGTTTCTGCTGTTGGACATTAATATGGAGCCGGCCTCTAGTGGCCGTTAGAGGAACTGCAGGTGGAGGTACGGGGTTGCTGATTGGTTCTCATAACTCACGCACAGAAATCTTTTTTGTTTGTTTGTGCACCAACAACATGGACATACGCTGGTTGCCTAGCAACATACCATTCACAACAAGACTCCAGGAAGTAGCTGCACCCGGTCTGGACTTATTATATTATTATATTATATTATTAATTATTAATTATTATTTATGGATCGTAATATGAGCTCGGTGTTCAGAGTGGAAACATTAAATATCTTCATGCTCCTCTTCCTCACTGTTCTTCCTCCCTCAGTGCTGTTTCATTGCTCCCTGGAGGTCAGTGTGTGTGTGTGTGTGTGTGTGTGTGTGTGTGTGTGTGTGTGTGTGTGATTACAGTAATGTCTTAATGACAGATGACATCAGACTGTCAGTCGGACCATCTGTCTGAACCCTGGGAACATGAATAAATGATAAATCCCACTTCTCATGTCAGGACATGAAGAGACGCTGCGATGAGAGAGAGAGAGAGAGAGAGAGAGAGAGACACAGAGAGAGACACACACACAGACACACACACACACAGTAACAAACAACTTAATCAGAGTTTCTGTAACTAAAACTGAGTTTATAATGAAAATCTTTCGATGTTGTTTCAACATTATTTTTAGATAAAATCTTATTAAAACACTATATATATATATATATAAATATTAAATATTAAAATGCTTCCAACAGTCGCATTTCAAACTAAACACACACCCAGGTTTCCGTAGTGACGGTCTCATGTACAATAAATCATTTTCCATAACTGGAGAACGTAAGGATCACTTTGGACCCACAACACTGATAAAAACATTAATATTGAATTTCATCTGTCTGTCTGTCGGTCGTTTAATTACAGGGAGCCACTGGAGGATAAAGAGCAATGATCCAAAATATTCCTTTAAATGCGACTTCATTTTGAAGCTTCACGTCGTCCTTTAATGGAACCGGACAAAAACAAATGTAAAACAATAAAAACTCTGATTCGGTATCAACGTTATTAAATTGAACTGAAACTGAACCGCTCATTAAAGTTATAAATCGAGGTTTTAAAGTCCTCACACTGGTCGCCCGTCAGGTTTCACTGATTATAAACTTATTTTACTTTCTATTAAAGAACTTGATGATCTTGAATCAATACAAATGTCACAAGTTCTTTAGTTTTGAAGAGGATCTGAGAGCAGCTGGACTGGAACAGATCTTAGACATCAACCAGTTTTTACTCAATTATCTGTGTTTTCTTTTGTACTTTTCATTGTTAATTTATTTTAAACTTATTGGTTTTATTTCTGCCTGCTTTCTTAATGTATTTGTTTTTTAGAGTAACTTTAAATATATTTATGCCTGTAAAATCAACTGTATTTATCTTATTGTCATTTGTCTTTTAAAATCCACTTTATTTAATTTTATTATATATATATATATAAATATTTATATTTATATTTATATCTATATATATCTATATATATATATAAAATTTAATTTAATCTTATTACCTGTGAAACACTTTGAACGGCAATAAACTGAATAAAATGTTCTATATAAATAAAGTTTAATGGACAAGTTGTAAAAAACATTTTTGTTAATTGGAATAAAAAAAAGTGAAACTGTGCACTTAAAAAATAACCTACAATAAAATAATAATATAGAGGATAGTTCAGGAGGATGTCTGCAGACCTTTTTCACAGCAGCCATTTTGACTTGAAATAGGGTAAACACAGGTGGTGCTAATTAAAGAATTCAAATAATTGAAGGTCTACTGCCTTCATAAAGTGTTTGTACTGTAAAACCTGAACTGAACTTATAAATCAACAAATATTATAATAAAACACAAACATGAAAACTAATAAAAACATTTTGAAACCATAAAAATTGATAAAATAAAAGTCGGTATCAGGAGATTAAAACACGTCAGTCAGAAAGAATGAGCCTGTTTATTAGCCCTCATGTTAATCATCATCATCATCCATCTTCCTCTTCCTCGGCCACCGACAGTCTCGTGGCTCGGGTTCATACACAACTCTATCTGTCAATAGAATCTAATAGAAAAATCTGCAGGTTACAGTTAGGACGTCGGTCCATTAGAAAAACAACAGAAACCATGAAACCAAAAAGCTCCCCGCCCCCCCTTCAGGACGAGGGATCGGGGCTAGGAAGATCTAAACCGGAGTGGACCGGCGACTCTGTGTCCGGTCCTGGTTCTGGAACGTTGGGACCAGTTGGTTACTGGTTTAGACCCAGTACGGGTTCAAGCACTGAGCCTACAGAACCGGACACCGAGCCGCCGTCCACTCGGGTGTTTTTAATAATTTTTCGGGGAGTAAAACCCCCTCACTACAGCTCTCCTCGCCTCGCCGCCGCCACGCTAACAAGCGGCGGGAACCGCTCGACGCGCCTGAGCCGACACGTTGAGAAATCCCGCCGACTTTTTAACGCGACAACGTGGAGACGGACAGAGACAGAAAGACAAGGAGAAGAGATAGAGACAGTTAGCCTAGCAGTCTTGAGAATATAACACTCAGCTTCTCTTTGCAAATCGGTTAGACACAACATGTGAATTAAACAATCTCATTTTAACAGGATAACAAAGTACATTTTTAACTGGAGAGCACCCGCCAGAGAGTGGAAATTTACACAAACCATATTATCTCATCGACAAACTGAATATTCATGAACAGATTTAAATAGACCCCTGTACAGGAGAACTCATTATTATCGTCGTCATTATTATTATCATCATCATCATCGTCACACATACAAGAAGCAGAACCACTGATTCAATATTCAACGCAACAACAGCCAGATCTCCCTCAACGCAAGACAAACCTCTCTGTGGTCCGACACGCACGACGCTGACGCAGAAACACTCAATGCGAACAAACACACAGCTACGGCCGGAGTTACACCTCTACGAACGCACGCTAACGTCTCATCTGTGGCCGACTGTAGGCTGAATTCACGAGTCTTCCAAATCTAAAACGTGCGGTAAAAAACAAGCTAGCTGCTAGATCCAAAGTCCTGCTGGGAGGTGGGCTCGAAAACATTCGTAGACGTCTAAAAATAAACTACGCAGACTTCTCCGGAGAGTTCGAGAAGCATAATCCAGCCGCGACAGACACACAGCTAACGCACACACCGTTCAGCTAATATACACACAGAACAAACACCGCTGATGCTAATGTACAAAGTGACGCTAACCCGTTCAAACCACCACACACTGTTCAGCTAACGCGACATTCACAGAAAATACTCAAAGCTGTTACCCCGTTTACAGTTACGCCAAATAAATTGAGTTCTTGTAATTAGTTTTTACATTATTATGGCAGTTCGTTAGCTAGTAAAACTAAATGCAAACAGTGCATAGCTTCTTTTTAATTAACAAAATGGATTTTATTAGTGTTTGTATTTGCTTTTATTCAGATGTTAATGCCAGTGGAGGTTCTTTGGAGCCATTTTGTCACTGGGTTACTTTATCTTCAAAATGGGAGATACCTCAAGAAATTCACAATATCTCCGATTACAAGTAGAATTAGTTTTCCTCATTCATCCATCAACTGTCTGGACTTTATGTATCAGGTTCAGCTGATAGCTAACACACACCGAACAAACAGAAACAGCCAACACATTCACTCAAATAACTAAAATTAGCAACGCGCATGTTCAGTAAAAGATAACTCGATATTGTTCAGACAAAACATCTTTCGGTTGTACATTCAGCTAATTAAACAGAACCACATTCATTCATCCAGCTCTCTCACACACACACACACACACACAGCTAACAGAAACCACCACATTCATCCAGCTAACACACAGTTGAGGTAACGCACATCTTTTTGCTAACAAACATTTAGCTAACTCGCACATTTAGCCAACGCGCTCGTTCAGCTATCACATCGCTAATAGAATCGATAACTTCATTGTTCAGCTCCTAACACTTCTTCCACTAACAAATCGGCAAAAGTAGAAATGCAGAACTAAGTTACAACAACAATAATAAAGTTTCACTCTGTAAGAAAATAGTCATTTCCCGCCTTTTTGTAATGAAAGTTGAGGCGGGGAAACATGGTGTCAGCTGGAGGTTAAATCCTGTGGAGGACACAAAGTGTTTGACCACAGAGAGATCTGGCTTTAGACAACGCAATATAAATCGTCATTTATTCATCATTACATCATAAAAACTAAAGAATCACTATAGAGATACAGGTATAAGAACTATCATCAAACCAAAAGAAAACAATAAACGCGTCATTGCACCTCCAAGATGGCGACTTAACAGGTAAAATTAGATCGAGAACAAACAGACCCAGCGAGCACAAATTTAGTACAAAAAACAGTTTTTGTCTCTGACGGTAAAACATTAAATTTCCATCTGACGCTATTAAAATATTTCTATGCCAAAATAAAAAAAAAAATAACTGAGAGTCAACACACAATCTGATGCATGCTTTAAAACATTATCATAAACAAAATAATAATAATAATAATAATATCTGATTTTCTTACTCAAGACTGCTAAGCCTTATACCGTTTTCTTATTGGAAAATAAAACTAGACAAAATATAGATTATACTGGATTTTTTTTTGTTCAAAGCCACACTGATACATCTTTAAGTTCAAGTTTGATAAAAAACAAAACAAAAAGAAAAACCAGGTCTACACTGTGGAGAGAGACCAGAGGCTAGTCCAAAAAAATCTGCCCGACAAAATATCAACTTTGTAAGGTTAAAAAACAGAAAGAAAAGAGTTCGTGATTTTTCAGTTAATCCTTAGTTTTTCTCTACAAAAGGAAGGAGGAAGCGGCAGAGCGTTGCTAGGAAACCCCGATTCGGTTGCCGTCGACGACCATCCGAGGCCTTCACCGGCGAGGGAGGAGCCTCTAGTGATCCTAAAGAGACAGGAAATGACATCATTGTAGTGAGGTTTAAAATCCGACTGCAGGCGTTCAAACAGGGTTCCTCGGTAAGAAATCAATGTCCAGGACTTTTCCCTGACGGTGGAGATCCAATAATTTACCGGTTCATCTACCACAGTTACACATTACAGGCGACGGGTTTAACGGACACTGCGTTCGACTTCCTCATCACAGCCGATATTTGTGCCGCGGTGACAAACTGACTACAGAAACAATTAAAGCAGTTAAACAACAGAGATTATTTACAATCTGTGTAAATCTGCAGGTTTTCGAGGAGGCGTGGGAACTCTGAGTAAACTAGAAACCAGAACCTGGTTCCTGTCGAGGTTCCTGTCGAGGTTCCTGGGGGTTACCTGTATCTGGGCGGGGTTCCACAGGTAGGGCTGCTGTCTGTAGTATTCTGCTAACGCTGCAGTGTAGTCTGGCACCGAACTCTGCTGAGACGACTGACCTGCAGACACACAGACGGGGTTAAAACACAACGAGTGGACACAGTAACATCATCAGCAAACAGTTGATTTCCACATTCAGCAACAAGGAGATTCTTCTGGAGTTTGTGTCGACCCAATGAAGCTCAATATTCTCTCTTTCAGCTGTTTCTGGGGGAAATGTCTCTTTAACACTGACTGATAGCACAGTGCAGGTACATTAAGGTTATATGTTCTTACAGTAGAAGCACTCTGCATTAGGAGAAACCCAGTTACCTGAATGAAAGACAGACAGACAGACAGGAAGGTAGGTCGGGGACAGACAGACAGACAGACAGGAAGGAAGGTCGGGGACAGACAGACAGACAGACAGGAAGGAAGGTCGGGGACAGACAGACAGACAGACAGACAGGAAGGAAGGTAGGTCGGGGACAGACAGACAGACAGACAGACAGGAAGGAAGGTAGGTCGGGGACAGACAGACAGACAGACAGGAAGGTAGGAAGGTCGGGGACAGACAGACAGACAGACAGGAAGGAAGGTCGGAGACAGACAGACAGACAGGAAGGAAGGTAGGTCGGGGACAGACAGACAGACAGACAGGAAGGTAGGTAGGTCGGGGACAGACAGACAGACAGACAGACAGACAGACAGACAGACAGGAAGGAAGGAAGGTCGGGGACAGAGACAGACAGGAAGGTAGGTCGGGGACAGACAGACAGACAGGAAGGTAGGTCGGGGACAGAGACAGACAGGAAGGTAGGTCGGGGACAGACCGACAGACAGGAAGGAAGGTCGGGGACAGACAGACAGACAGACAGGAAGGAAGGTCGGGGACAGACAGACAGACGGACAGGAAGGAAGGTCGGGGCCAGACAGACAGACGTACTTTGTTTCTTGTAGTAGTCCTCCCAGGCCTTACTGTAGTCTGTCATCAAGCTCTGAGGCTGGTTCTGCTGACCTACAAACACAGAAACATACAGTCAGAACAAACTACTCACAGCCTTTACTACAGTGACCAGACAGCACACAGACAGTACAGACAGTACAGACATCACACAAACAGCACACAGACAGTACAGACAGTACAGACAGCACACAGACAGTACAGACAGTACACAAACAGCACACAGACAGTACAGACAGTACACAAACAGTACAGACAGTACAGACAGTACACAGACAGCACACAGACAGTACACACAGTACACAGACAGTACAGACAGCACACAGACAGTACACAGACAGTACAGACAGTACACAAACAGCACACAGACAGCACACACAGTACACAGACAGTACAGACAGCACACAGACAGTACACAGACAGTACACAAACAGTACAGACAGTACAGACAGTACACAGACAGCACACAGACAGTACACAGACAGTACAGACAGCACACAGACAGTACAGACAGTACAGACAGCGCACAGACAGTACAGACAGCACACAGACAGTACAGACAGTACAGACAGCACGCAGACAGCGCACAGACAGCGCACAGACAGTACAGACAGCACGCAGACAGTACAGACAGTACACAGACAGAACACAGACAGCACACAGACAGCACACAGACAGTACACAGACAGTACACAGACAGCACACAGACAGCACACAGACAGTACAGACAGCACACAGACAGTACACAGACAGCACACAGACAGTACACAGACAGTACACAGACAGCACACAGACAGTACACAGACAGCACACAGACAGCACACAGACAGCACACAGACAGTACAGACAGCACACAGACAGTACACAGACAGCACACAGACAGTACACAGACAGCACACAGACAGTACACAGACAGTACACAGACAGTACACAGACAGTACAGACAGCACACAGACAGTACAGACAGTACAGACAGTACACAGACAGTACACAGACAGTACACAGACAGTACACAAACAGTACAGACAGTACAGACAGCACACAGACAGTACACAGACAGTACAGACAGCACACAGACAGTACAGACAGTACAGACAGCGCACAGACAGTACAGACAGTACAGACAGCACGCAGACAGCACACAGACAGCGCACAGACAGTACAGACAGCACGCAGACAGTACAGACAGTACACAGACAGAACACAGACAGCACACAGACAGTACACAGACAGTACACAGACAGCACACAGACAGCACACAGACAGTACAGACAGCACACAGACAGTACACAGACAGCACACAGACAGTACACAGACAGTACACAGACAGAACACAGACAGCACACAGACAGCACACAGACAGCACACAGACAGCACACAGACAGTACAGACAGCACACAGACAGTACACAGACAGCACACAGACAGTACACAGACAGCACACAGACAGTACAGACAGTACACAGACAGTACACAGACAGCACAGACAGCACACAGACAGCACACAGACAGTACAGACAGTACACAGACAGTACAGACAGTACAGACAGTACACAGACAGTACAGACAGCACACAGACAGTACAGACAGCACACAGACAGCACACAGACAGTACAGACAGCACACAGACAGTACAGACAGTACACAGACAGTACACAGACAGTACACAGACAGTACAGACAGTACAGACAGCACACAGACAGCACACAGACAGTACACAGACAGTACACAGACAGTACAGACAGCACACAGACTGTAAAGTCTGACGACATTTACTGTGTTTCTGCTTCAGATCTCCTCTGGCTGACTTTACAGTGATCAGACAGGAAGTAAATCTCACTGATATTATAACCTTGTGTGTGTGTGTGTGTGTGTGTGTGTGTGTGTGTGTTTTGAATCGTCCGAGACAGACGTTTGCGATGCGAGTGCACCGGTAGCTTCAGTGTGCATCGGATACAACTGCCGGCTAAATGCGCAATGTATCTTTCTTTGAGTGTCTGCATCGGTGAAACCCATGGTTACATCGATTATTACATCGTTTATCTCCTCTGCACCCGTGTTTTCGAGGGGCCTTGAACGCACCATCACTGCGCAGTTAGTTAGTAAACAGAAAAAATGGAGGGAAGCGACACAACAGGTGAAGAGGAGATATTAGGGGTACCTTGGAAGACACACACACACACACACAGTACACAACACACACACACACAGTACACACACACACACACACACACACACACACACACACACACACACACACAGTACCTTGGAAGACACACAACTGCACTTTGAAAAGAAAGCCTCTAGTTGATATACCTCAGTGTGAGTGATGTTTACAGTTGCTGTGGCTGTCAGTCAATAGTTTAATTCTTTACTCTTACATTTGTAAGCAGTTGTAATTGTTCTGTTATATTGTCGTATGAATCTCAATGATCAGGACACTTTTCAAATAGAGCAGGTCTAGACCGAACTCTTTAAAACATTATTTACAGAGACCCAACAGTACCACCATGAGCAAGCATTGTTGTATTGTATAAGTAGAGAATGAGATTAAAAACACATGTAATGAAAAAAATATTTTTATGATTTAGTGTTTATTAGGAATAATCCTCTGTCTGTACCATATTGAATTGCAGCTTCTTTTTAAGTTGGATTTATTGGTTTTCTTTATAGAAAACAGTCAAGTATCAAATACATGAGAAACCAGATGTGGGCTTGTAAATTCTTTGTATTGTGTTGAATCATTTTGAATCGTATCGAACCGAATCGGATTGTATGAAGTCAAATCGTTGTCAAATCATTAATGAATCGTATCGCATCGTATCGACAGGGGGCTCCACTGTATCGTTAATGTACCGTATCGCTGGCAGCGTATCGAGATGTGTATCGAATCGGCCTCAGTGGTGGGGATTCACATCCCTAGTGTGTGTGTGTGTGTGTGTGTGTGGACTTGCCTAGCTTCTTATAGTACTGCTCCCATGCTTTAGAGTAGTCCATCTGTCCTGTCTGAGCCATACTGTGACCTACACACACACACACACACACACACACACACACACAAAGAGAGTCTTAACTGCTGGACTCAAACCCGAGTGTGTGTGTGTGTGTGTGTACGTGCTCTACTGTGTGTGTGTGTCTGCAGTCTGTGCTACTCTTAAATATTTTATATATTTTTTACAGTAAATTTAGATTTTATATTGATAATTATTTTCTCTCCCTGTGGTTATTGATTGATCAGTTTGTGTGTGTGTGTGTGTGTGTGTGTGTGTGTGTGTGTGTGTGTGTGTTACCTGGGTCTTGTTGTCCAGGATTCTGCCAGCTGGTCTGGTAGGTGTTTCCCCAAACTCCAGTCAGGAAGGTCTGACCGCTGCCACAGCTGCACACAGACACGTTATTAACAGCTGCTAACGCTATCGCTAGCACAATGCTATCTGAGTGAATAAGTCAGTTGACTAACGTTAGCTTCCCCAGCTAACGCGAGCCATGATACTAACTGATGTATTCTGACAGGGTTGATTTTAGCCAACAATAAATGATGCTAACGGTCCAAATAAGATATAGAAACATTGCAGATAGTAACAGGACACAAAGTCGTTTCAAATACGAAAATATTTTCTGTTTATATGAGTGATTTTTTTAACGAGTTTATTCAAATTCAAGCATATTCCTAAACTTGAAAACATTAAAGTGTGTGTGTGTGTGTGTGTGTGTGTGTGTGTGTGTGTGTGTGTGTGTGTGTCTCTCTCTCTTACTTCTGGTGTGTTGCGGGGCCCTGGGTGAAAGGACTGAAGCCGAAACCTCCGTTACTCATGATACCTGAACCCTGAAGAAAAGAGAGAAAAGTAGAGTTTATTCAGTTTCAATCACATTTAACACATTCCACCTTAAATCTCATGTGACATCATATTATTATCTACTGTATCTCTGTACAATGACTGGAGAGCAGAGAGACTTTAATCTGAAGTTCAGTCACTTAAATTCACTGATTTTTGAGTGGAGTTTGGTTGAACTCTTTAACTGCAGTTCAGTTGTTTTTATTGATTATTAAAAGGACTTTTTTCTATGAATCAAT